TTTACAGGATGTTGCGGTTTGTCGCGTCGCCTTAGGCGTGTCTGTTTTCCATAGCGTCGCGATTTGGTGCGTCGTCGAGGCGATTCGCGTTGTTTATAGCGTCGCGATTAGGCGCGTCTCGCATCTGAGCGTTTTTCCGCGGGACCTAGCGCGTCCTGTTTCGCGGAATGTCGCGATTTGTTACATCGCTTTGGGCGTGTTTCATGTCTAGGTGACTATGAGGATATAGCGCATGCCGCTTGTCCTGTTTTGTAGAACGTTGCGGTTTGACGCGTGGTCGAGGCGATTTTTTGAACGATACTTGTTGTCGTGTATTTACGATGACGAGAACCATTAAAGTGGCGAATCGGTGCCAGATATGTGAGACACGAATGATCGACGACGATGAGATGTGTTGATGCCATTCGCTGGATGACCTAACATCTTCTCCATTGCGAAATGTGACGGCATATCCATCGGTCAATGTGACGGAGTACGTCATGAGAGGACAATACGCACCGATTTCCAATAAATTAAAGAGGCGCGGTTGTCGAGTTTCGAGACCTCAGCGTGAGTCTTTCGCCTAAAGGATAATAGAGGCGTGCGTATGTCATCATTATCGAGGGATGGCATATAATCTTTTATTGGAGGTACTCTACGAAAAGAAAAAGCCGCTCGAGATTAGCAGACGACAGGAGTACATGGTGAATTTTCACGAAAGCGGCCATTACAATGTATTCAATGATAACGATGACGACGAGACGTTTTTTTGCGCTCATCGCAAGTATTGGAGGAAAAGCGGTGTCGTTTCGTCAGCAGCGTACGAGGAGAGAAAAAGAAGAGAGCGCGTTGGCAACAATTGGCGCAACTAAGTGTGCGCGCATATAAGTATGTATTATAATCGTAATATAACTATGGATTGTATATATGAATATGTATGAGAGAATAAGATTAACCGCGAGAGAGAAACGGAATGTTTCCTTCGTTTGCGGCGTATCGCGGGGACGAGAGGCGGATCAACGATGCGTCAGGAATCTTCAATTAACGATACCGAGGATGACGTTATATTATTGGGAACGTATGAGTGATGAGAGGTGGAGACCGCGCGAGGAGGAAATCATCGCACGAGTATTAATAATGAAAGATTTAATGTGCAATATCAAGGGCAACGGTATTGGGAATGTATGAGAGATGGAGCTCGTGCGAGGAGGGGGAATCGTCGTAGGAGTGTTAATAACGAGAGAATATTTTATTACTCTATTGTTATTATTTTATAACTCTATTGTTATTATTTTATTACTCTATTGTTATTATTTTATTACTCTATTGTTGTATTATTTTATCAGGCACATAAAAACAGGAAAGAGCTATTTGTAGGATGTTGCGGTTAGGCGCGTTCTGTGTCTAGACAGTTTCCGCGGGGATCTAGCGCATCCTGTTTTCGCTCCAACGGGAAGACGCGCGTTTTGATTATGTAAGATGTCACGTGTTTTGTCATTTCAGAATGTCGCGATTGTCGCGTTTTCGACGCTGCCTCGAGGTATATATCTAGTCGTGAGAGGCATTTTCTCTCATTGTTAGGAACGTATATGGAAGCAGTCGCGCCTAACGGTATTTCGTCTTCGAGCGAGAGCGACGATTCGCTTTTACGCGCGTTCGATCGTAACGTGACGTATCGCGATCTCGACGACGATCGTTGCGAGTTACTTATTGAGAGTGACGATAGTTTAGAGTGTCACGAGACTATCGTGCCTGGTAACGACAAGGAGTGGATCGTGGCGAGAGAAGATGTTCGCTGGAATGTGGCCACGTATCACTTGCGACGGGGGATCGGTACGGAGAGTTCGCGAGAGAAACTGTGGATCGAAACGTTGCTCGCTCTGAGCGATAGAGCGGTAATCTACGAGAGAACAGCGAGAGAGAAAAAAGAGAAGCGTTAAATCGAGACGTTAAATTCGTCGTTCCTACGGACCATTGGGGTAACACAGTGTGGGAAGTTGCGATATAGAGAAGAGTCGCGATCTTCTCGAACGCGCGGCGGGAGTTGAAGGGGTATGTGCCTATCGTATTTGAGAACAGGAGTGTATCGAGTGTCTCGAGGTCTTGAGAGAAAGATGCGAGAATAGAGTCAATTCTACGGTTACCGGAACGATAAATTCTCTGGTCTCTCGAATAGCGCAGTTGGAGGGTGCGAGATTCGCTTTGAGTCGATATTTTAGTTACTTGGATGCAGGATACAACGGTTCGAAGGGATTCGAATGGGTGGATATCGAGACGGCTTTCGCGTACGAATCGCGTACGAACGGGTGCTGTGATAAACATCGAGCACATCGAACCTCGACGGTTTCTTGAGGACGCGAGGGCCACGGTGCTCGAGCGAGTGCGAGTCGATTTTGATATGCACGCGTGTTTAAAGGTCAACACCGTGTTTCACGGGGAGTTCGTCGCGAATGATAAGAACGCCATTAAGAGCATTCGCACGAAGAATTGTCAGCTATTCGGTATGTCCGAACTACGAGAATGGTACGACGGAGACGTTATGAATGTTGTTCTGACATCGCTGGAGGAATTTCAGAAACGCGATAGCGGTTACTTCCGATATTAAATTTAATGATTAATGTAAATAAGTGTAATCCTATGCACGCTGGATGTTGGATGTTACTTCCTCCGAAGATAAGATATAAGAGAGCCGTGATTAATGTACGTTCACACGACAACGCGTGTTTCGTGTGGACGGTGATGGCCGCTCTATATCCTGTTGATATACACTCGGATAGATCATCGTCGTATCCTCACTATTCGTTGGTGCTGAATTTCGATGGTATCGATTTTCCTATGACACTACGAAACATCGCTAGATTCGAACGTCTTAACGATTTGTCTATTAACGTATTTGCTATTCGAGAGAAAACGGGGAGAAACGATATCATGATCGTTCCTTTGTCGCTTACGGGAAATAAAAAGTCTACGCACGTAAATTTGCTCTATCTGTCGAACGAACAACGCGGCGATAACGTCATTTCGTATGAATAAAGCACTTATCTCGACTGTTAACGTCGCAAATAAACAAGCATAAGGAAAAAAAATACATATGCGACCGGTAAGTGTAAGAGAGATTATTCTCGTTGCGAGATAAATTTTGTATTAATTATAAATTGTCTTTTTCAGATGTCATTATTTTTATTCAGACGAGAAATTGGTCGCGCATAGCGTCGAGTGCGGAAGAGCGAACGACTGCGCCGTTATTCTTCCGAGCGAGGACGACAAGTTACTCTCTTTTCACAATCACGACAGAAAGGAGAGACTACAATTCGTCGTGTATGCAGATCTGGAGTGTGTCTTAGAAAAGGGAGATCAACGTCTCGACAATAGATTCGCCTATCAACACCACAAGGTGTTTAGCGTAGGATATTATTTGCATAGCACGTACGACGGAATCGTACTCGCGAATAGATCTCGCCGAGGCGACGACTGCGTCTCGTGGTTCGTCGAGGAGCTGCGCGCTCTCATGTGTCGCGTGAAGAAGATTCTGTGCGCGAGCGTACCGATGTCGAAGCTCACGCCGAACGAGCGGAGCGCTTTTCAAAAGGCGACAAATTGTCATGTGTGCGGAAGGAGTTTTGAGTTGTATGATATTCGCGTGCGCGATCGCTGTCATCTTACCGGACGATATAGAGGACTCACGCACGCGAGCTGCAATTTGAACTATCAGAACGCGTTCATTATTCCTGTTTTTTTTTCACAATCTATCCGGTTATGATGCACATTTCATTATTAAAGATAGCGAACGCTTTCGAGGGTAGAATCGATTTGTTACCGTTGACTAAGGAGAATTACATCGCGTTTTCGAAAATCGTTAACGATTAGGCGTACGGAAAATGGAAAACTTGTGTTAAGCTTACGTTTCGTGGATTCGTTTAAGTTTCTTAATACTAGTTTAGAAAAAGTAGTTTCGTATCTAGATCGGGAAAAATTGAGGATCTCGCGATTCGAATTTTCCGATCTCATCGCGGAGGATTTCGAGTTGTTCACGCGCAAGGGCATATTTCCGTATGAGTACATCGATAGCGTTGATAAATTGTTAGTGACCGAATTACCGCCGATCGAAGCTTTTTACAGTTTTTTAACTGGTGAAACTGTGAGTGTTAGTGATTACGAACACGCGCGAAGGATATGGGAGCGTTTTCACGTGAAAACTCTCGGCGAATACAGCGATCTATATTTGAAAACAGATGTGCTTCTCTTAGTGGATGTTTTTGAAAATTTTTGAGATACTTGTATGGAAAGTTACAATTTGGATCCAGCGCATTATTTCACATTACCGGGATATACGTGAGACGCTATGTTGAAATATACGAACGTTCGGTTCGATCTGCTCACCGATATCGATATGGTGATGTTCGTAGAGCGCGGTATACGCAGCGGTTTAAGCCAATGCTCGAACAGATATGCGCGAGTTAATAATCAATATGAATCGTCATATGACTCGTCTCAGCCGTCGTCGTATCTCATGTACTACGATGTGAACAATCTCTACGGCTGGACCATGTGCGAACCTTTACCGTATGCGGAATTTCGGTCGAGAATGTCGAGGGTCTCGATATTATGTCCGTGCCATCTGACTCCGATATCGGTTATATTCTAGAAGTCGATCTCGAGTATCCGCGATATCTTCATGACGACCACGCGGATCTTCCGTTTTGCCCGACGCGCGAAAACCGCCGGGAAATCGAAACGAAAAGCTACTCGTCACGCTCTACGACAAGTCGCGTTACATGACACATTATCGCAATCTTCAGCAGTGCGTGCGACACGGTTTACGCGTGACGAAGATCTATCGCGCGTTGCGATTCGCGCAATCTCCTTGGTTGCGCGCGTACATCGAGCTCAATACGGAACGGAGAACTCGCGCGAGCAACGAATTCGAGAAAAATCTGTATAAGCTGATGAACAACGCAGTTTTCGGCAAAATAATGGAAAACGTGCGCAATTACGTAGACGTGAGACTCGTGACGCGTTGGGACGGAAGATATGGCGCAGAGGCGCTGATCGCGAAACCGAATTTTTACAGTAGGAGCGTTTTCGATGAGAATCTTATGGCTATCGAGTTAGCAAACTCAAGGTTCAATTTAACAAACCAATCTACGTCGGTATGTGCATTCTAGAAATATCCAAGATGCGATTGTATGATTTTCATTACGATTATGTGATACCGCTCTATCGCTCTAAATGCAAAATCATGTACACGGATACCAGTACAGCTTGATATATTTTCTGGAATGTCGAAACATTTACGAGAATATGAAGCGAGATATCGCGAGATTCGACACCAGCGATTATTCCGACGACAACGCGTACGATATACCGTGCGCGAATAAGAAGGTTCTTAATTTGATGAAAGACGAGAACAACGGAGCGATCATGACGGAGTTCATAGGACTTAGGGCGAAGATATACGCTCTGAGAGTTTTGGGAAAGAGCGATACGAAGAGAATAAAGGGCGTTAGGAGGAAAACCGTCGCGAAAACGATAACGTTCGAGGATTTCGCGCGTTGCTTGAACGAATCGTTGCAGCAATCGAGACGTCAGGCGTGCATACGCTCGATGCTGCACGAGATTTAATTCGGACACCATGTTCGAATTAAAGCTAGTTTTGAGCCCTTACGACGACGATATTTAATACCTGATTCCACTAATACATTACCGTGGGACCATTATAAGATACCGTTATTACATACTAATGTATAAAAAAATTTGTACCAATATAAAATAAGTAAAATTTGTACCAATATAGAATAAGTAAAATTTGTACTAATATGGAATAAGTGATACTATACATTCTTTATTCATTACAATACAGTTGCTTTGTGAATCCAAGAATTATGTGTATTGTCCATTCCTAGCCATTTGACAAAAACTTTATCGTTCTTTCTACGTAATACTTTCTCAACGAGATAGATATCAGGATTGGAAATTCGCAGGAATTCGTGTTCGTAAAACCCTCCGGCTATTGGTTCTTTACGATAGTCTTTTAACAGATACGTCACGGGATTCGTGTATTGCACCTTAGCGATTCGAAAAATCTCAGTCGTCCAGTTAGCCGTATATTCCTTTTCGAAAATCGTTTTGAACTTGCTTACGCGTACCGGATCATTCACCTTGAATCTTGCGGGGACTGCGATCTTCAAGTGACTATATAGCGTGGAGAGGAGTCTCTTGGCAATGGCTGGAGTTACGTCCGCCGGTTGCATTCCGATCGTTCGATGCGCGCAATTGTTATACTCCGAGATTAAACGCGGTAGACCGTCGAGCCATCTGTACGATCCGTTTAACGTGAAGAGTTTCCACATGTTGTTCTTGAGCGTGCGATTAAATCGCACCACAACCGCCGCTTTCATCACCGAGTACGTCGAGTAGTGGCGTATACCTATCAATAATCGCTTTTACGGAGGCATTGTAGAACTCCTTGCCCTTATCCGTTTGTAGATTTCGCGGATGTCGAGCGTCGTCGCGAAATATCTTGGATAATGCCGCGGCTACCTCGCTTCCGCTCTTGCTCTTTAGCGGCACAGCCCACGCGTATTTGCTTAACACATCGATGACCGTCATCACGTAGTTGTAGCCTTTGTTTTGTCGCGCATACGAACACATCTCGACGACATCGGCCTGCCACAGGTCGTCGTAATCGTGCACTATGACTCGACGACGCGGAAAGTTTCTTTACGCGGGCGTGTGAAGCTCCTCGACGAGTCTCCTCTTCTCGACGCTCATCGTTGATTTTACAAGGAGGCGCGATTCGCGATGGTTTTATTCGTGCATGTTCGCTCCTGTTCTTCGTTCCAAACGTTAATCGCGTGTTTCATGGTATTTGGAATATCCATTTTTAGTGCGATTAGTAATTCGTTTATTTTTTCTCTAGTCACTATTTTATCCACGTTCAACGAGGCCAGCGTCTTGTTCAGCGTCTCTCTCGTTACCGCTTTATCCGTCAGCTCTCTTCGTGATTCTCGTCAGATCTGTCACGCTACGCGCGAAATTCTCCACGTTCGTCGATATTCTCTCGCGGCTCGTCGCGCTCATTTCGCACGGATTTTTCTAGATTTCGCAGTGATTCCTCTAGGATCTGTGTTCGTTTCTCCTGAGCGTCGCTGAGCGTCTCGATGGTCTTTCGAATCTCGCTCGAGTCTCTAGCTCGCACTTTGTCCTGTTTTTCCTCCGTTCGTCCCAACTCACGTTGAAACATGAACAGATCTTTAATTCGTTGGTTGTTCCGTTTATCGAGCGCTTGTTTCGTTTCTCCTATTCGTTTATCGAGATCGACGAACGAGGCCTCCTTTCCTCGATCTGTCGCAGTAATTCCTCTAGATTTCGTGTTCGTTTCTCTTGAGCGTCACCGAGCGTCTCGATGACCCTTCGGATCTCGCTCAGATTTTTCTCTCGCGATTCGTCCTGTTTTTCGAGCTCTCGTTCCACCGCGTCTCTCGTCTCCTCTATTCGTTTGTCATGATCGACGAGCGAGGCTTCGCTTTTCTTTTTGAGAAAGAACGCCGCAGAACATCCACTTCGGTTTTTACGTCGTAATACTGCAGGAGAATATTCCGAATTCGCTTATTCATATCTTCCAGCTGTTTTCGTAGCTTGTTCGTTAGAACTTTCGACTCCTCGCTCCTTACGCGAAGCGCGTCGTCGACATAACCCTTGGTTGTCGCGTCGGTATCATCGATCGGTGTATCCAAATGGCGTATCTTGCGTCTGTTGACGTCGTAGTCGTCCGGATTAAGGCAGAGCGCGCTGCGACGCACGTACGCCCACAGGGATGCGATCGTCGAACGATCGTTGCCTCTCCAGAAACTTCCCGAATTTGTTCACGGACATCATGCCCTCGCAAGTGACGAATCTACCGCGCGCGATAATCTGCTCGTAATCTCGACGATCTGCGTATCGTATTTGAGAAACAATCTGGTTACGCGCGTCATAGATTCCTCCAATTCGCCGATTGATCTAACCGTGCTCTCGTTCATCTCCAATAATAACGTTCGAGTGCTCGTCGAGAATTCGCTCGTCTTGGAGATTTTCGCTTCCGCGTCTCGAAATGCGCTGTCCACGTAGCTTTTACTCGCGGCGTCGGTATCGATTCTAGGTGTGGCTAAACGCTGTATAATTTCATCTCTAGCGTCGTAGTAATCGTCACTTAGACAGAGTGCGTTATTACGCATATAGCGACGTAAGGGATCGATCGACGGTCGCGAGCGTGCCCTATCGCCTCCGCCGGACGATTCCAACGGTCTTCCGAACTTGTTCACCAACATAACGGGAATACCGATCGCCACGAGCGCGCGCCGCGTTTTACTCGATCGCGTCGATCTCGCAAAGCTGGCAACGACGCTCACGACAACGAGATTCTATTGATACTCCTCGAGCCTCAGCATATCAATAGAATCTCGTTGTCGTGAGCGTCGTTGCCAGCTCGTCTAGAGGCATCGAGCAATCGAAGACGATCGACTAATTCGTTGGGATCGTCCCAATGGACGTACTCGATATTCCTTTGTCTCTCACCCGCATAGCGGATGGAACAGAATCGATCCCTTTTTTTCTCGCTTTACTAATACCAGCGCCACTTTTGTCCTTATCAAGCAATAGCGGCGCGATATGCTTGTACTTGAAACCTTTGTTTCCTAGAATAGGCATAAGCGCATTGTGACCACGTCGATGGGCGTTCGTAGTTAACAGTATACTCTTGTATGTTTGCTTGTCGTTCTCCGTGTACACAGCGTCGTCGGGAAATCTCTTGAAGATCAACTCGTATAAGCCCGGAGTACCCGAATATCATGTGTCGCCCACGATCACGCTGTCGTCGGCGGTCACGTCGAATCGCCTGTCGCCAAGCATCGAGCCGTCTAAATCGAAGTACACCCCGTAAACGTGATCAATCTCACTCTGTCTGTCCCCGCTTAGAAGCGCGTCCATATATTTGCGACCTAACGGTCCCCATTGCTTCGAGATCGATTCTTCCGATTCATTTCTAGTCGCGGGACTCACTGTCGCGATCAAGGGCGATCTCGTCAAGAGGTCTCCTCGTCGATCTAGACGGTGGCTCGTCGTCGTCATCGATTTCGCGTTTCCTCTTAGCGCCGACGAACGCGATCGGGTCGATTCCCTCAGTCGACTCGTTTCACGTAGTATTCTCGGTGATTCGTTTCAACGGCTGAACGATCGGCTTGAGTTGCCTCTCCAGCGCGATCTCCTCTTCTATCTCACCGGTCTTTAATTCTCTGTACTTTTTACGTATAGATTTCTGAGTCTTCGCGATTTCTCGCACCGTTTTTTCCAGTCGAGCGACGTTCGTACCAGCCGCAGCGTCAACGTTCATACTCGTAGCAGCGTCAACGTCCATCCTCGTAGCACAACTGATCGCTTTACACCACGGCGAAATCGTTAAATCCTCGTCTGTATCTACCATTTCTTAACGCGCTGTCTTTATCGATGATTACGAAACCATATTTGCGTTTCCAACACGCGCGACATAAGGCGTAAAAATTCTCATACGACATATCCGTGTTCACGTGCTCGTTGTAAACGTGCTTTAGATTAGTGCCATCCTGCTTAAACAGAATCAAGAGATTCGCATTGTCGCGTATCAGGTGTTTTGGAGTTTTAGCGTATGTCTGACAAAGATAGAAACAATCGATGTTCAAGTGTCGACCCATGGCAAAATATTCCCTGATCGCGTTCTGCTTGTCACAGGCCACATCGTCGAACACGAATATCGAATCGGGAAACGCCTCGCTCGGTGGCACGACGTCGCTATTGTTTGAGAATGCGCGATAGCCGATCTCGTCCATCGACTCGAGCAGTTCCGCCAGATATCGATATTTTGGTTGTTGCAGGGATTTCGAGTAGACGTACACATTCTCAAAGTGGGCGCCATGTGGACTTTCGAGCATGCTTATCAACACGTTCGTTTTGCCGCAATTGGAAGGGCCACAAATGATGCAACGTATATATGCAACGTGTTTGGTAGTAGAGGGCCGTGTCTGCGTGCCCTCCCAACCGCGTCGCCCGAGATTCGTCGAGCCTTACGATCGAGATTGAGCACTCCTATAGCTGGCGACCGTCGAACGAATCGCATTTACGCGCGCTCACTTCGAGAAGACGCGACCGGTAATCGCTTCACTTATACTCGACGGCGATTCGATCGCGCACAGTCGGTATGTTTCGCCTATTGACGGACAAATGCGATATTCTCAATCTATCCACTCAACAGTTGTAACTTATCCCGAAGTTCGTTCTCGTGCGCGATTTCGACAGATACGTGCAGCTACTGTGGAACAGATTACTCGATCATCTGAGAGCGGATCCCGAGGTACAACGTTGTCGCGTGTGTCTGGAGCATTATAATCGTCCGTGGCAACAATCGCATATAGACGGTCCTGCGCCTCTTATCAAAAATTGTAACGAATGTTTAGCGGCGCGGGACTACTCGATACGGCGATAAACGCGCTTTCCTTCGAACTACATATTCCCGGATATCAATTTTGCGGGCCCGGCAACCATCTCGCGACACGATTGGCGCGCGGCGATCGAGGCGTAAATCCGTTGAACGCGACGTGCCGCGAGCACGG